AATTACAAAAAAAATGTTAATTATATGTTAAAAAGTTAAAAATAAATGTTAAAAAGATGTTGAATTTTACGTGTAATGTTAAATTGGTGTTAAAATTATGTAATAAAATAAATATCATAAATTATAGTAATGATATTCATGCTAAGATTATGTTAAAAATTATGGAATTAAAGAATTTAACGTTGCTACTGCAACAATATAACAATCAAACAATCAAACAATTAATCAAATAATCAATTTATTTACTATTGCAAAGCAATAACCCTTTGGGTCTACAATATGTCACTCAATTCATCTGACATTTTTTTGTTCGTTTATTTTCATCGCTGTAATCATGATCTATGAATTATTTAATTAAAGCATCTTAATTATGGAGACACTTCACACAATTATTCCCAGAAATGGGACAATTACAATATATATAATTCTCATCATAGTAATAGCGTTTATATATATATATATATACGCAAAATAATAATGCTGAGTGATTCTTCTATACAAAAACTCGAAAAAGCAATTCTAGCACTTAATAATAAAATTAATAGAATGCAAACTGAAATAGAATGAAAAAGTGATATTTGATCTCAAGGTATTTATTCAACAACGTGGTTATAGCAGAGCATATTAATGTATTTTTAGCACTAATATATTGGCTTCACTAATTAAAAGACAAGAAGTCACAAATCTGAATACTCTGATGAAACTGACGTTCTCTCATGAAATGTAGAATGCCTTATCCTACCTTTTCACAGTTACTGCTCAAAGCCAGATCTTAAATAGAATAAGTTTTTTTTGATTCTCTATATAATGATACCTATTTATCTTTTTCTGAACTTGAGAGGAAAAGGGCTACACTTGCCAGCTTCTATCAGCATCAGAAATCTTCTCAAAGGACTTCACTGGATAAAATCGAGACTTGGATCAAAAAAGAAAGATACTTACTTTAGTAGTATAGGAAGTAGTAGTAATGTATACAATGACGATAGCTAGTGTGAGATAGGGAAAGAAATTGCTATTTTTATTATGTAAAAGGCTTAGGATCCAGCGGGCATTTATGCTTTATTTCTCCCTTTAAACATCCCTACCCTACGCTTCTATTTATGCAAAAACATGTTAGGACCCACATGATAATGATAAGAAATAATTGGACGAAGTTTATTACTCTGTTAAACTAGTTATAGTCAATATATAAGCATTATTGATTTTGTGGGACAGCATAAACATTGTATAATGAATCAATTCACTAAATAACATCACAAAACCAAACTTTTTGATAATGCTCTTTTTATTTGCTTTAATTACAGTGTATTACAAGACCATGGCAAAACAATTGAGGGTGGTGAAGTCTCTGTGCCCATGGCAACTAGTTCTTGCCTAAGATCAATTGAATTTTGAACTTGTGAGTTCACTGTATCCACACAGTCTATAATCGCTTTCTGTATGTAAAGATAAGATAATGAGAGAATATTTCATGATGAGACTTAGAATAAAATAAAGACAGAATCACCTTCAATATCCATACACTTGTCAGCATCCTGTATTTTTTCGACTGTAACTGGCACCTCAAGGAGCTTCTCTCATTTTAATATTGACACGTATCCCTTAGGACTACTCAAATGTAGCACTTGTGTTTTAAGACCTATTGTAATTCAAGTTAACTTAGTTTATTAATTTCTATAATGCAAAATTCTTTATTTGACTTACCCAAGTGAAGCATACCAACTACTCTTAGTTTTCTTACTTTTGTTTCTTCAAAATTGACTTGTTTACTCAAATATATTAGCATATCATACATGATTTTACTCAATTTATATCCATCAGTCAACAGTTTGATTTCATCAAATGCTTTAGCTACTTCAATTGCACCATATTCAATATCATTGACATATGTCCTGAATATTCCATCCATACGAGATCCCATCATCTTACGTTCAATATTCTTGTGACGTGTACATATCCTCTTTTGGTTTCTTCTTACAGATACTGCTCCACTTGTTGACTCCTTTCTATAAAAAAAAGTAAGCAGAAAATCAAAAATATACAGGAATGATCATAGCAAGAATATACCTAACAGTCTCTATCCCAATTAAGTTTCGGAGACCATGATCAATTATTAGTGACCACACATTAATATCATGCCAAGATTCAAGATGTGACTTATGCAGTATTCCATTGGAATCTTCATAATTTGTAAGGCTTTTTTTATATTATTATTAAAGCTCGTGCAACATTACAAATAAAAAACATACTTACTACTTTCTCATTACTATATCTACCCATTTAGCATCATAGTGTTTCTCTCGGTCATAAGGCTCATCCATATTTCGGTAGGATGTTGTTTCTAGAATGTGTCTTAGCTCACTTGTTGTTTTAACCTGATGTTGGCAATATCATAAATAAATTTTAATTTAGACAAATTGAAAAATGATCGCATCTTCAACTTACATTGGCAAATCGCATCAATAACTCAACAAAGGTTTCGTCAACCTTTGGTAACCTTCTAATTTCACGGCGTATTTCTTTCCATTCTGTAACTGTAAATAGTGCCTCTGTCTCCTGATCATCCAAATCAACGATCCATGAATGTAGGAGTGATTCACCTGATAATTTATTGCAATGCTCGAAGATAGCATCCTCGACACACGTTCCAGTTGATAGAATCCACTTTTGAGTCTTTTTCATTTTTGCGTAGGACTCATTAAAACACTTGAACTGTGATAACGTCAGCAATGGTGGAGGATTCTGATCCTCATCATTACTTGTAATATGAATAAAAGTGAAGTTATGAGCCTAAGAAAAAAAATCAAAGAAAAATAATTATTATATGGTACCTTGACATGTAATCTGAATATTCCTCCTCAGGTATAGGTATGTAATCCGCGTTATCATCCTCATCGGATGTAGGGGAGCCATGTGCTTCATCGACCTAAAAAGAATATCATTAATTAGCAATTATTCAGTCTTTAATTGTTATGAATGATCAGAACGTTGTGATAACTGAATAATTCGCTTCAATATGAAACCATACCTTGTCTTTCTCGTCATCCGCTTCGTTGGCAATGCTTCGTTCACTGCTTAATTTTCGCCGTTTCTTGGTTGAGTTATCCATTTTTTGCGAAAATAGATTGGGCAATTTTGTTTCGGAGGGACTTGTAAAGAACTTGTCGATCTCGTCGCTTTCATCATGATCATCCTGACATTGAAATACAAAAATTAGTTCTTTTTGTTCTAATATTCTAGAAAAGATGCAAGTATATACGTTCGAAGATAAATTTTGATACTCTTTATTTGCCTTTTCACAATTATCGTAGTTATTACGAATATTCTCTCCATGAAACTGTACTGACGTTTGAAGAGTGTGAAGACCTTCTGTGTCTGTCACAAGCGTCGTTTCAATCTATGATTTTTTAGAAACATTAATAAATATAATAAAATGAGATGCACACAAACTCTACCCACTTTCATACGATCACGAATAATCTCTCTCCAATACAAGCGGTTACTCTCAGAATTAACCTCGAAATTAAGCAATAATGGCAACGTTAGAATCAAATATCATTGGAAAAAGATAACATATCAACCATAAATATGAGAAGACTCGCAACCAATGGCAACTAGGTAGTCAGCTAATGCTCCTAATCAGGTAGTCAGCTATTTAGGAGTGTCACCATTGGTCACTCGAGATAATGACAACTAGGTAGTCAGCTAATGCTCCAAATCAGGTAGTCAGCTGGTTTGGAGTGTCATCATTACCCCTCGAAAAAACACCAGAAAAAAATACCTTTGTTTTCACATCAATCTTCTCGTTTCGTTCTTGGACTGCCCGTATAAACCTCCTCGTCCACGCTCCATCAAGAGCGTGCCAGACGTCATGGAATGGAGGGGTTTTAAGAATTTTATCACGATAAAGCAACAGAAACTGGGAAAGGGACCACTCTTCCGGTTTGTGACTATCTAAGTATTCAAGAAGCTCTGCAAGTCAAAGTAGAAGAAATATAAAATTAATAAACGTAGGATAAAAGTGTCATTTACACGTTCAAAAAATATTGCCTTCATTTCCTTGATAATAATTATTGGCTTTTGACATGATACTGTGTGAGGGCGGGTTGTGTAGTTTAAATATCATCAGTGGATCTATTTAAAAATTTTACGATTATCACGTGCCAGAGGTAGCAATGTTATCAAAGAGGGAGAACGCGGATCCTCGGCCATTAAATGCGCTTTTGACTTTCCCGCCTATTAGTTAATACACCAAGGAATTTATTTTTCTGCTTAAATCGTCGTAATCTGTCAACAAACGAAAAGAAGCTGTCACGTCGGAGGAGGTATTACCCGGAAAAAAGAAACTGTCACGCCAGGCTCGTTATAATAAGAAACGCAAACTCGAAAAAGAACAAATTTTTATTATTTCCAGTGGAAACTAACATACCCATACCGACATCAATAAACGACATCGTTTTTGATCCAAACCGGTATATATACTTCTAGCTACTTTACGACGTCTCCGGCAATTCTCTTTACATATTATGTGACAGATTGGTCGCCTGAGTTATTTGTACGGGTATAGACCCAGCCATAAAAATAGCTTTATTCCATGAGAAAAATATTCATCTATATATTTCATGCGCAATGTGGAGTTGAAGACTTGTATTCTAATATTTCTTGGTAATATTCCTAGCATCGAACTCAGAGTGTCACCCGAGGGCTATCCACGTACGATAAAATAGATTATTTGGAAAATGAATGGAAAAGTGTACCTATTCTCCGTCAGATCGTTTCGGCATGAAATTTCTACAAGAGTTTTAATAACCGAGACCCTTATTAGAGAAGCGAAGGCTACTAAAGATGACGTGTATGATTCATTTGAGATTCCTTCTGAATTCTCAGCATTGGTGAATAGAGATACTATCGATGGTACCTCGCTAGAATTGGATAAAAGCTTATGGGTTCATTCGGGGTTTGGCTAGGCTTTAAAGGGAAAATCAAAAGAAGAGAAGTGAGACAACATCTCCGGTTAGGATGGCAAAGATTTCGATACGTTGGATTTTCAAAGAAAAATAAATTTACGGCTACGAATATCACGGCAAGTATTTTTAATCCGCGTTCACCACGTATTACGGAAAAAGAAAAGATTCGAATGATTATATCAGTGCGTAAATGCCGATCCCCTGGAGAAATAACTGGGTTCCATCACTTAGTAAATCCAGGATGTGTCGTCGATGTTAATGGCCAGACCTTGCTTCACCTAGGATTAGTAGATAATTTTGATGCTGTGGAAAAAGCAACGGATGCGGTGAATCGTGCGTTTACCTTGAACAATCCATTCCCCTATACTAGTTCTAATACTGCAAGTAGCCACAATTCCGATCATCAAAAGTGCGTCGATAATTGCTCTACGACCTCTACCCGTTATCCAATTCTATTAATCGATTTCTTAAAAAATATTATGGGAATCTATACGAGAAGCTATCCAAATTAAAGTGGGGGCGTTCTCACCTAAATCATTCGGCGCCTTCCCTATGGTTGCGGTTAATTTCAATACGATCGACGACTATCACACGACGAACCAAATTCTATCTGTTGCTTGGTCGCTCTTGGTGATTTCGAGGAAGGTGAACTTTGCTTTCCACAACTCCAGATTATCGTCCAGCACAAGTCGTGGTATTTTCTTCCCGTCTTCTACTCCATGGAAATTTTCCGGTAACTCGAGGGATTCGGCACAGTATCGTTTACTTTGTTCACAGTACCTTCTTCCATCATCTGCGTGATTTTTTGTCGATATACGAAGATCTAGAGGCGGGTATTGAAAAAGATGCATATAGGACGGTTATTCCTATGATTCCTCGGCAAGATCGCAACGATGCACGAGATCTGAATAACCGAAATACACTCTCCCAACCAAAAAAAAGTCAAATCGCGATACCAGAAAGATCTTGTGATAAGAGGCAGGGAAACATAGGTAAGTAATTATTTAACATGGGCTAGTACGTTTGTGTTAATCTTTTCATTGTGTTACATACATTGTTAAAAATCACTAATTATAATCGTTACTTCTTTACAGATTTATCGCTGCCAGATGTGGGTTGAAAGCAGAGGATTCACTGTATAATTCGATACTTATATAGCAAAAATAATTATATAGATTTAGCGGGTTTAAAATGTAAATATATCAGATGATCACTGGTTAAATAAAGATTTTTGCATATACTGTAAACATATTAATCGTAATTATTTTTTCTTGGCAAAAGTGATCGGTGTTCTGAAAAAGAATGTGCACATAATTTTTATTAATTTGAAATTTTGAATAAATATGTATCTTATATAAAAATTATTATTAAACATGTCATCGGAGCTTGAATTATTGAGACAACGAGTTACCAAGCTTGAGGCTGAAAATACCAAATTAAAACAAATCATAGAAGAAATAGCTAATCTTAGGATTGAAAATACAAGACTAAAACAAATCATAAAACAAAATAGAACTACTAATGATGCTTCGCAATCTTCAGTTTCTCTGGCATTATCAGTAATTCCACAAATACCTATTCCAACATCTATTAATGGTCAGTCTGACAAGGATGATATCCCTGAGAAATTTGTTTCTTCCGACATAAATTCTAATAATACCTCAAGACAGATAGAAAACACATCCGATTCTGACTTATACCAACCAGAGACCAAATCGTTGGAAGATAAAGAAATTGATAAATTACTGGATTCGAAAGATAATAAGAGAGAGAAACAGGAAAAAAAAACTTCGAGATCAAACATTTTCTTATTCTGAGGCACAAAGTGCAATTTCACCCGAAATTTCTCAAGATACCACATCTATTCTGACCCATAACCAGAAAACTATTCAATCAGAATCTCAAATCTTTATTGAATCGGAGCAAATGTCCATTGATCAAATGCAAAATATCATTTCTTTCAAAATAGCAGAGCTAGCAAGGCCAAAAATTCCTTATAATCAGAAAGTGAAACAAGGCATAATGCATGAGCTATCTCTTTATGCTAAGGAAATTAGTAGTATACAAGAAATAGATGTGCAAATTCCTAAATTTTCTCTAGAAAAAATATTAACAGGATCTGATGAAGTTACAGTTCAGATTATAGTAGATTTGTTTAATACAACAATGAAAACTAGACAAAAAGAAAATTTATGCTGGTATTGTTATACTGAAGCATATGAAGATCGGGTTAGGGATATTAAATTCAAGAATAAAATCGATGACCAATCAGCTAGAACGCTGGTATATAATGAAATCAGATTGTTTTTTTCTGGTATCTCTGATGTAAATTTGCGTAAGAGAACTTTCAAAGCTAAAAAAGTTTATATATTGTTCGAAGAGATAGAAATAGATATGATTAGGCAAATAACTTACAGTGCAAATGCTATTTCAAGCCTAACAGATATTCAAATCCAAAATATTATAAATCATTTTCGTAAAAAGACCAATACAATTAATTGCCAAGAAGTGATTAGCATTCTGAAAAAGAACGTACACGTAGTTGAACTACCTAGTTCAAATGATATATCAAACACTGAGGTAAGCATACCTACTGAATCTCAAATTTCTGATTCTTCTGGTTCTGGATCAACCCAAGGAAATGATCAAGATGAGTTAACGGCTCAAAACTCTGCTTCCTTGAAATTACCAGAAGCTGAAGTAAGTATACCTATATCTAACCACCTTGTGACTGTCTCTGACAATAAATCTCGATCTCCAATTTCGATCTTACCTGAAGACTCGAAAGAGAAACAAAATCATATTATCAAAATAATACTGAAGCAGTTTCGAAATTTGTCTTTAAAATATAGTACCAAGAATAATAATTACTTTGACTGTTCAACGACCTGCCCTATATGTAATAAAGACTATAAAAAGAAAATATAAGAGATAATATAGAAGGTGAATAGGGTAGTGATGATTATGTCAATACAAAAACTTATCGTCTCAAATGCTGGAAGACTTATCAAAAATCAATCCAAATAGTAACAGTGAAAGCGTAAAACAATAAGCATGTAGGATAAATATGAGATTACAGACTTTTTATTTGACATGTTTCATGAACTTTTATGTTGATCCTATCCATGATGTGATTGGTTGATAAATTTCTGATTGTTAACGGTTTTTTAATTATTCTGATTGGATGGATCATTACTGGAATGCGGACATGATTGATATGCTACGATGTTTTCAGATAGAAGAGTCAATCTTTTTTTTTTAACATGAACATGATTCTCTCAGGGATTTATCTGATCGAGATCATACCAGTCTGAATTCGTAGATTCTGAATCAGAGCTGGATGAATTAGTCTCTGTCTCAAATTTGTTGTGAAATTTCCATGATGTTTCTTTCGTTACTTATTATTATAAAACAATGACCCTTCAAGTCTATCTTCGATATTTAAGAGAACTTTGTTAATTATATTTATAATTTCCTCTTGAACTAGATCAGGTTTAGATTCCATTGATTTAGATAAGTTATTTTAGTGGAGCTGGCTTTATGACTCAGAGAGTTGCCTGTGGACCTGCTATCTTCTTCGATTAATGGGATACTCATACCATCTATTTCAATATTAGTATCAGGATTAAAACTCATCTTTACTTCATGTGTTCACAACCATTCTTGCTCCAATACCAGATCGAATGTTGGATTCTTGCAAATCTCGAAGTCTATTAGATCGGTACCATCCAAACTTCGCCATTTTTCTTTATGGTAGAATTGTAAATCTAAGCAATTTATTTCACCTATTGTATCTTTATAGAGGTTTTTAACCGGATCACAAGTTGGAGCTATTTCATGATCCATTTCAAGCTTATCGAACAAGCTCTTGCTAATGGTATTAAACTTCGACGATGTATCTATTAATGCTTTAATTGAGATTTTTCCCTCTACGAGTAATTCTATAAAAATATTATTTAATGATATATATTATAACTGAAAAAATAACTCAGTAAATAATTATTCATTCTCTGCTACTACATAAAATTATTTGTAAATCATGAATTATTAAGATTAATCCCACCAATCTCTCTGATACAATTACTGAGTGCAGAAATAAGATCTGTTTCATCTAATAATGTACCAGTGAATATTGCAATAGGTGGATTAGAATCAGATCATTTTTTATCTAAATAATTAGGGTATTCGATTTTAATTTTAGGATTAAGTTTTTTTATCACTTCTTCGCTAATCTCTTTACACCCCTCCAAACTAAGATATTTCAAATTAGTACAGTTGCGGGATATTTTCTCGACAACTTTATTATCAATCGAACAATAGCCAAGCTCAAGATATTTAAGTTTTGGGCATGAGTGAGCAATTTCAGTGATACATCAATCAGTAAGACATTTACATGAATTAAAACTCAGATGTTGTAGTTTTGGAGAAAACCTCGCAATTTTTATAATTGGTATATTAGTGAAATCCTTACTTTTATCAAGAATAAGAGTGTATATGTCTGAACACGAGTGTAAAATTGTACTAATCAATGCATCAGAGATTTTTAAACCTTCCAATCTGAGATATAACATCGTTGAACAATAGAGAGATTTTGTCTTTCCACACATAACTTTTTTGAATTTCAATAATCATCAATAAATAGTCTGAGATTTCTTTCGATCATACGGATCTCTCTGATAATCTTTGTTGAAAAACTCAATGTGATGTCATAGAATAGGAGCACCGCAGTGATACCAAAACTGATTAACAAACAAAGCGAGATAGAGGGATCAATCGATTTTTAAAAAATATAAGATCTGTTCTAGTAATTTGGGTAAATCAAAAATATTTAGATCCTTTGGGTCATTACTTCATAATAGTTGCGTCATTCTTAAATTATATATTATATATCTTTAATCAGAAAAAATAACTAATATTCAGATAATTAATTTTAGATATATATACTATGCATTTTCCAGATATTCTCAATTACATTTAACCTTATAACTAGTTTCTTCGAGCAATGTAAGAGTTTTATTTGGGAAGTTCACTTTCATTGCATTATCATTAAATCATGAGTTCTCTAACATCAGTACACGTTCAGGAATACTAACAACAAAAATATTAGTAACTTTTACTTGTTTCCATTTAGGACCCTGAGACAGGATTAAAATAGGGATTTTACAAATTACTCCTACTACATCGAGTTTGCCAATGGGTGTATATACTTCTACATCAGAGATATCATCAATTTTTAAACCTAATTTATTTACTACCTCCTCAGCTATAATATTATAACTAGCACCAGAATCTAATATAGTTTTAACTGGTACTTTGTTAATTTCGCAAGATAAAATTCTAATTATATTTTATTATGATAATATATTTAATTATATTTTTTGTATATTAATAAATAATAATTTCGCATTTACAATGACTGAAAATAATATTAAGTCTGTTATAAAAGATAATATCAACAGAGCTGGCATGGCCAATGCTATCTTGTCTCAAGAATTTTGTAAAGAGTTAGATGCATCAATCAATTTGCAAAAATTACGTGAATATATCAAAACAATAACCAAGTCTTTAACAGATCAGCAGAATATTATTGGAGTAATATCCAATATTCGTAGACAAGTATTGAATAAAAAAATCTGGATTTCTCTCTGTCAATTACTGGAGATAGTGAAACCTGAGATTCAGCAAAATATTATAAATACGATGTTACGGCTTGGAATTATCCTTAATTCTTTAATTTCTTAATTCTGATCATGTGACTCAACATATATTGTAGAGATAGCAGAGATAGCAGAGTTCTCAGACATATCAACATTATCCACTATATCATATTTATCTGATATGTA